AAGGACATTTACCCACTCTGGTGCATCTACAAGTTTCTCACTTAATTAATGGTTTAATAAAATAATTTTATTTATTTTATAATTTTAAAAGTGTATTTTATTTAATATTAAAAAAATAAATAATTTTGTATTGAGTTATTTAACTTAAGGATATAATTGATATTGTATTTATATCAGAATTAATTATTTACTAAATATATAATACTAGAATGACTCATAATTTTCATTGCGACGATCTGTGTCAATTTAAATTTAATACAAATTGGACAGATGTGGTGATCCACATGCGCCCAAGCACAATCTACGAGGTGGTTGGGGGTTAACAGCTGTCTTGCACTAAATTTATTAAGGACGTGTCACATTCTGGATGGTTTCTGTTTCCATAAAGCCTGATCGACTAGTTAAATCATCCATGAGTCGGCCTTATTTTTGATGCATAACAGGTGGAAGCCCACCATTTGGGCTTAATAATTGACCTGCGTCCAGGAGATAAAAGTTATCCAGTAGAAATTGATTATTCTGTGTAATTAGGTGATTGCATCATGGTTTTTTCTCAAGGAAAAGAGAGGTAGACTGTAGAGTTAATTAATTATACTTTATTATTCAACAAAAAATGTGACCACTTGGGCATCAATAATGACCTGTGGTTTTAGCGACCATTTATTTAGGAGTATTGGCATTCGAACTCAAAAGGTAATCTAAGGTGAAGTAAATATTGGTTTAGTTGGGTTTTACGTTTACAGTAAGCGTTCTTCATCGAAACTAGTGATGTTAACTTAATAATGTGGGATGTAAAATATAACCTGTAAAGTGTTTATTTTAATTAATGAAAAGGGGCTTTGTGGATCTATTTGAACATTTGGATTAGGTAGTTTAAATTCAATTCTGAAGATACTTACGAGCACGCCTTTAGAGAATTCATACTGTGGGAAGGGGCTTTCCATGAACTGCTTCACATTCTGCTTCCAGGCTCAAGTTTTATATCTCACAATCTACCTTAGGCAATTCTAGCCAACCCTGAGCAAAAACAGGCAAAATGATATAATTTTTTTTTTTTTTTTTTTTTTTTGTGGAAATTTCATGAAGACATGGTGTTCTGGAGGTTTAAGCTTGGTAACATCAAGTAGGAATTGAGTATTCTGTATATTACTTGGTTGCATTAAATGTTCATGATTTTTTCTCAAAGAAAAAGGACGGGTAGACTGTAGAGTTGATTAATCATACTTTACTATTCAAAAAAAAAAAAAAAAAAAAAGTGAGAAGAGATTGATCTACACTGGAGGAAACATTAAAGGAGGAAGAGAAGGAAAGATGATGAAGGCATTTAAGTTCGAGTAATGGTATATTAAAAACCTCTCTATAGTCTGTAGTAGAATTGTAGGTGGTAGTTTAATTTAATTAATAAGATTATGCGAAACTCATAAAATTTATTATAAATTAATTAATTATAAACTATCACATTAGAATGTGGGAGAATATTATTAATATAGTATTCTTTAAGTTTAGCTGACTCAGGCTGATTCTACATGGTGTGGAGGTGTTGTGAGGGTGTACATTTTGAGCAGAAGAGATTATGACAAGAAGTGTTCACATAACAAAATGGGAAGGTAAAGAAGACTTAAAAGTCATTGGGCATGTAATAACAAAAATCTTATTTTTTTAGGATAAATTTGGTTTAAGGAATATTGTATTATTGGAATATTATATTAATATTCTCGCCTGTTTTTCTTTGAAGATGTGAACAATTAAATTTATTGCCAATAGTTGTGAAAAATATGTCATCATTATAAAGAGAAAGGTTGATGAAAAGAGAGTACACAAAATCGGATGCATATAAAGACACAGACTAATATCTAACATAAATAACGAGGTTTAGCGAAATTTTAAAGTTACTGTTACTCTAAATTTTCACTTTAAAATAAAATATTAGCAATTATTAGAGGTGGTTAAAAACGGTATGTGAGGTCGATAAATGAATATATAAGTTTTGTCAAGAAGATTATAGAGAGTAAATAGTGCTCTCAGAAGTGATTTTGAACTTTAGAATTAGTTTAAAACCAAAAATTATCAACATAGATACTATTATGTGAAAATTTTTCTATTTGAGCCGTCTTCTATTAAAAAAAAATCGACTATTTTAGTTATATATGTTCATGTTATAGTAATAAACTAAGAATATGTAAAATAAAAAAATCAATGTTACTTTAAGAGTAAAACCCTGAAATAATTAAATCCGATATCAACTTAAGATTTGGTTAGGCCGAAGAGGTAAAAATTATGTCATGATTATTAAAGAGAGGCAGATGAAAGGAGAGTATTCAAACTTGGAGGCATTCGAAGACTTGGACTATATATTAAAAGTTATAAAAATATCTAAATAAAATTAAAAAAGGAGAAAAGTCCAACCTGGCCGGCGGCAAAAGCGGGACCAAGAGTAGGAGCGATTGGAAGTGGACCCTAATTAATAGTCCATAACGTGGTTTAAATGGAACACATAAAAGCTAACAAAGGTCCCAGTGGGTAGTGTTGTTTTCGACAATTATTTCAAGAGAAAAGGATTTACCCACCCAAGGTTTGGTGAATCCATAATTGTCTAGCAATAATGTCACGGACATTCATTATTACTATTAATTTTCGATGTATACAACATTCAATCAAACACAGTCACGTTAAAAAATAACATATTTGTGAATGAGTATTATTCAATAATTATAGACACATATTATATTTTTGAATACTATTCATTATAAATAATGGGGTCTATCAGAATAAGAATAGACTCTCTCAATATTATATAAACAAGACAAGAGTCTATTTTTTCTAGATGGGTGTTCACCTCATAAAATACTCATTCATAAATTTTTTAAAATAAAATAATAAACGTTTATCGATATTATATGATTGGTGTCTAATTAGCATATAACGAGTTATTCAAGTTTTGGTTCGTGTATGCCCCTTGGATGCCACTGCTTCTTACTAAGAAGCTAAAGTCCAGAAGATGAGGCCAAAGTTCCAAAGGAATCTATCCTAAGTCGGTCTGGATACGGCTTTGTCACTCTTGCTTGTATTCTTGTATGCTAGCCATCCAATAAAATGCAGAGCCACACATAGCTTCTATAAAAGAGATGGGTGGCTATCCATATCAGATGAAAGGATCTATTTTTTGCTTAAAATTTTATGAACGGACATCCATAAAAGTGGAGTTATTATAGGAAATTGATCCCATCTATATAATAAGATGTGAGTTTATTGTATTCGTGGATGCTCGTTCATTGTAATGAACACACGGCCACCATATAGACGATCATTCATTCACAGAAGACAGTGTTATGTTTCTAACATGGCCACATCTGATGGATGTCACATACGCGATACAAAATCGATGCAATAATTGTGTTCGTAAAATTTGAATTCTCTAGCCGTGTTTTATAAATTACAAATTTCCACCTAATTTATGGTGCAAAAATAATTTCATTTTAAGTTTTATAATTTTGAAAGTGTATTTATTAATATAAAAAACAATAAATAATTTTTTTATTGAATTCAATTAAGGATATAATTGATAGTGTAATTATATGAGAATTAATTTTTACTAAATGTATAATATCAAAATGATAAAAAATTTAATCATAATTCAGTGGTTTTTTTTATACAATGCTATTGCATCGAAACTCTTAATTCTTTTCCTCCATAAATGTAATGTCTGAGTGGAACTCCCTTTAATAACATTTTTTAATAAGAAATTAAGAGAATTTATTTTATAAATGATACTTTAGAGGTGGGTGTGGGGCACGGAGGGAATAATTATTAGAACTAATTTTGTTTTACATTAATTTTATATTTAAAATAATTTTTCCTTTTTTCTTTTTAGAGGTCTCAAATAGTCAAGTAAGTTGGATAATATTAAATTATAGTGTAACACAGTGTTCGCACGATATGCAATATTATATATGTACTATCAATAATCATTCGTAGAATTGTATAAGTATTAGTATTATTTAAAAAAAAAAAAAAAAAATCCAACCCTCCCATAACAAATTCTTGGGTTCACAACTATATATATATATATAGGACACTATGAGGATTTAATTTACATTTTAATAAACCGAAGTAACCGCAAATATGAAAGAACCAGCTAATTAATAAGAATTACCCTGTGTTTCAAGTACTAGCATTTTGGCTTTGACTTAACAAAATTTTTGTTTGATCATTAGTTGATTAGTGTAACTAAATAAAAAATTATCTAGAAATGATAAAAATGCCCCTCCAAAATAATAAAAATATGCATTACTAAATCAATACTACTATAATTCGAGCTCTTAACTCTATACAATAGTAAACCCCATAAGTGGTATGATGATAAAAAAATAAAAGAAAAATCTAACATGATTCCTAAGTTCGAGTCCCCACGTTTCTAATAGAGATGACCATAGAAGCTTTACCTGATCAGTAGTTCCAAGATCTTAGGAGATTAGTTGAGGTGCGCGTAAATTGACCCGAACACCCTCGATCATTAAAAAAAAAAAAAACACTATATTAGTATAATTTGTGCACTACATTTTTCATTATTTTAAAGGGATTATCATTTTAGTTTAAGGTTCATATAAATAACCATCTGGTTATCAAAGAACCAAAATGCTAAAATTTGAAACAAATGTCCTTAGATAATATAGGAGATCGAAACCGTAGGAGCAAAAGAAAATTTACTCCAAAAAGGCAAGTGAAAGCATTTAAATAATTAAAAATAAAACTCTCTCTAGGGTAAAATTATGAGCGTTGAAGGAATCTTCAGCGGCTCTTTAGTATTAATTTCTTTTTTTGTCATTTAGATAAAAAACAAGGCACTTATACTGTGATTAACACTAAAATAAAAAATGGAGATAATATCCTCACAATCTCTTCTCACTAACTTTCTCTCACAATTCGACATGATAACTCGCAATTGGTTAATTCGTAATAAATCCACTTGTTAAATTAGATTGACTAATTACGAGTTCAATCTCTTCTCCCTTGATTTCAGCCTCCTCAACCTTACGCCCCACTTTGAGTCTTGCATTCTTCAGCTTCAAAACATCATCTCGGATCTTGTCAAAGTTCGTCTCGTAGTTGGATTGTTGAATACTTGAATAGGAAACTTCAACGAATCTTTCTTCTTGCTGCAGGAGTGGAATAATACCATCCCGCTTTAATTTGAATGCCTTCTTGCTATGTTTGTAGCTGTTGATGTAGTTGGGGCGCAATCCCTTGAAACATCGACGGTTTTTTTCTTTCTCTCTAATCAAACTCTCTGCTTCATTAATGGTATTGTTCACCTTAGTCTGCCACTCCTCAACGCTCTGTTTGATCGCTTCCCCGTTTATTTTGGCAGCAGTAACCTTACCCTGCACTTCGTCTCTTGTCTTCTTCAGCGTCATAACTTCCGTTTCGAGACTTTTTAAATTGTTATTGTAGTTGTACAAGTACTTAAATTGACCAATCGGAGCAGCCAGGCACTTGCCCACTTCGAGAACAGCACTCACCACACTCGCAATACTCCCAACGGCGGCAAGTTCAGCCATTTTCACACTTCTTTTTTCCTTCTTCACTTCTTTCTCAGGTTAGAAAAATACAGAAAATATAACAAGTGCAAACTCAAATAACAGAACAAGAGTGAGGGAAAATGCTGAAATATTTTTTTTTTTTTTTGAAAGAAATAAGGAAAAGGGAAAAAATAGAAGAAAATAAAACAGAGAAAGTAACAAGGCAACTGCAAACTGAAATAAAGTTGGTGAAATAAAGATCTTTTTGTTCTTTTTTCCAAACGAAAAATAAGAAAATGGGATACGATTCTTTGTGGTAAACAAGAAATAAGGGAACAGGAGAGGAGTGAAAAATCAAGTGATCTGGTCTCAGAGTAAAAGTATTTTAAGCGGTATCTGAAGGGGTGAGAGAGGTTTCCGAGTGAAAGTGTTTTTGCGTGATTTCTGAAAGATTGAGAGATGGAAGAAAACTGAAGAAGAAGAAAAAGAAAAAGAGAGAGAACAGTGAACATCAACCATCTGATGTTTTGGTAAACAAGAGACTCGTACCTTATGCTCCAAGCAAAATGAATTTGGCTCTGAAATATGAAGTGAATTTTCTTGGAAGCTTAGATATTTTGAAGTGAATTTTTCACATTCCTTCACCACCAACCTTTCTAAAATCGGCAATTGCCAAAAATCTCTTCTATGATAGAAAGCTGTAAGTTTTGGTAAATTTTCAAGCTTCAAAAAGGTTACCTGTGGAAAGGCAAAATCAACAACAGCTTTTGCTCCTTCTTCCGCAACAATCTCCTCTAAAACCTTACAATTGCTTATTTGAAGATCTTGGAGAGTGGAGAGGCTTTTGGCTACAGAAATTGGAAATGCATATTTTATTTTCCTACATCCGTGCAAGTTCAAGCGTGTCAAGGAAGACATGAATGTTGGAGGTTGTTGGATGTCCCAAATCTTTCTAGAACTAGTAACTTTCAGTTCCAAAGCCATCAAATTGGAGAAAATAACCTGAAGTCAAAGATAATTGATGTTGCAATAGTTACTCATATGAAAAAAAGTAAATAATTGATTATTATGGATTTATAGATGACATGACATTAGTATTACCAATGTGTCTTTTTGTTTCATCATGAGATCAAGCATGAAATAATGGAATCAATTTGACAGAAGTTACACAGTATAACTATTGAAGAGAAGTACTTAGTAATGAAATTTAACAAAAAATTTAAATCACCAGAAAAAGAAACCAAAAAGAGAAGAGCATATAATTCAATATCACAATTGTGTTAACAAATGAAAATAAGTATAAGAAAAAATAAGAATATATAATAGAGCAGTGCAAGAGGTTAACAATAATCAAACCTTTTTGTTAAAAAGTGGCGTGAGATTGTTATCATCCTCTGAAAATTCAGCCAACCGTAAAAGTTCAACATTCTTGAAAATTTGTAATTCTTCTGAAGAGATGCTAGAATCATATTTAAATTCCAACATTCTTGAACATTCGTAATTGCGCCAACCGAAAGACCATAGTAATTCATAGTCCATCCTTGCATAACGGGACCAATCTCCTATTGTTATTTTGCACCTTCTAAGCTCTTTAAAAAAGAAGTCTTCAGGCAACATCTTGTTATCTTCAATATCGATTTCTAAACTGGTTAGCTGAGACAAGTGCTTCAACTCCTTGAGTTCTTCAACCTTCCACTGAATACAACATCCTTTCATATACAATTCTTCTAGTTGGGATAGTTTTGATATCACATTTGGCGCAATAACTTGTAACTGCACACAATTGCTTAAATCCAATAACCTTAGCTGAGTCAATCGACCTATTTCTGTAGGCAACTCCTCAAGATTAGAATTTTTCAAGCTAAGGATTTTTAGTTTCTCTAGCTTTCCAATAATAGCAATATCTTCAATTTTGGTATCTTCTAAACACAATGTTTGAAGATTTGTCAAAAGATCAAGTGATGATGGCAATGACGATTGTTGGATTTTAAATAAATTTAAAACTTTAAGCTTTGGCATCACCGCGAAAAACTCCTTAAGGATTCTGAAAGAACCCCCCTTACTCATATAAAAAAATTCAAGTTCTGGAAAATCTAATCCTTCAGGCGATAGTTGAGTAATAATGTTATTACCAACTACAGAGATCATTGTGCATTTTCCAAGTTTATCTTTATCCTTCCATTCGCTTTCAACGTCATTTCTCTTTGTGAACACATGGTGATCTATATATCCACATGTTATAGCAATAATGCGAACAACATCATGCATAGAAAATCTTTCTTCGGTAGAACCATCAAGTAACAAGCAGGAGTCTTTGAGTTCCTTGACCACTAAATCTAGTCTATTTCGTGCTTGCTCTATTGTAAGGTTAGCTCCTTCAAGTATACCCAAACTAAAGATATTCTTGAATAAGTCTGAAAGGGAAGTATTATTTTCCATTAGACTAGAAATTATGAAAGTTTTCTTGAGCTCATCATCTTCTAAATAATCATAACTCAACTTAATCTTTAAATATTCCTTTTCTAAAAGTCTTGTGAACTTTGTTGGAGAAGGCATTCTTAGTACTCGCAAAGCATCTTCCCATTGAGATTTTTGTCTCTTGTTCCTTAATGCTTTTGCTATGGTACAAATGACAATGGGCAAACCTCCGCATTCTTTGCATACATCATTTGATAAAGAATTCAATTCACATGTTTGAATAACATTACCTGCACAAGAAGCTAGGATTATACTAATTACATGTTCTATTCACATGCCTTTGGTTTAAAAACAAGAAAAGTTTCAAGTGTTGTTATTTTCCCTCTAGCTATATATATAAAATAAAATTATGAAAAAAAAAAATGGGAAAAAAAGAGATCTAAACTATGTTTGGGTCTTAGTAAGTTCTGTCAGAAAGTAATGTTTGGGGCCATAACTATTAACTGTCGTTAAACGAATTTTTGTTTGGCCCAAGAATTATGATAAGAAGTGTCTTATGTGAATAAACTTAAAAAATTAAAAAAATATTCAGTTCTCATTACCGTGAATTTAGGCTGAAAATAATGGGAGTTTTATGCTAAGCACTATAATTAACTAACGGCGTCTAATAAAACTAATACAAATATTATGAATTAGTTTAAAGCATGCATCTTAATGACTATGCTTTAAATTTCATCTCCATCATGTTATAAAGAAGTGTAAAAAAATTCAAAATAGAAGATTGAAGATGTAGAAAAAGGAATTAAAGGGATCTAAGGTGTAAAAAATTCTTACTGAAGGATCGATAAAATCATATTTATGTAAAAATTTATAATTGGAGGCTAGCAAGATAAAGATAAGTGGTCAACTAGTGTCACTCAAAGTTTTTGAACAACATCTTAAAAGCAAAAGTTGTACACCAAATTTGTATATTCAAGTTTAGAATAAAGATAGGTTGACAAACACTTCTCATAACTTTCTCTCACAAACGCTAATGTGACAGTTTACAATTGGTCAGGCAAAAAGTTGACCAATTACGAACTGACACGTCGCGTTTGTGAGAGAAAGTTAATGAAATTAGTTTATAAGTGTAGTATTACTGTTAAATTTATTGATTAGAGAAAAATTTATATTATGTTATATATACACACACACTTACACAATTTATCAGATTTTTAAATTACTATGTTTTATTTTTATTTGAATAATTGGGTGAGGTCTGTAACTGTAACTGTTGGGTTTTAAAGGGAATAGAGGTTATGAAATTAAAAATGAGAAAGGAAAAACAAGGTTATTCGACTATTTTTCAAAAGAATCAAATTAAAAAAATGAACAAAAAGAGAGAAAAAGATAGGTTATGAATTTAAAAGAAGAAAATTATGGTTATTAAGTAACTTTTAAAAAAAAAATCAGATTAAAAATATGAATAAAAAGAGAAAGAAAAAATGAGTTACACTTAAAAGATAAAACAAAATTTAATATTTGGAATTACCTTTCTCAAACCTTTGACATTTTATTTAAAAGAGGCAATTAATTATTTCCCTTTTTATGCCACATTGTCAAGGGCAAATATGGGATTTCATTGCTATACCATTGTTAGGACTTAGGTGTGGAAAGTTATAATGGCTAGCTAACTAGCGTGCAGGGGTTTTTTGTTATAAAATCATAGGGGGCTTTGGAATTAGCTTTAATTTTAGGGGATGACAGAAACCCAAAAAAAAAAATAAACCCAAAAAAATTAGAAATTTTAAAAAGACCACACCCCACTTTCCCCACAAATGCACACAGCAGGCCCAATCCCTTGGCAAGCCCCCAAAGAGTCCATTTCTTTTCCTGTGGGTTGTGAAGGCAGTCCTGTTGGTGAGAGATGGGGTTTTTGGCTTTTATTATTGCTATTATTATATTAATATCACATTATAAAAATCTAGACAAATACTGAAATACCCTACCCTGTTTAAATTAATATATCGACTATAATTGATAAAGACCTAACCGTACTTTTGATATTATTGGACCAAACTTTACTTGATCTAAACCTCAGAAAATAGGCCTAATAGAATTGTTTCAGCATTAGGAAATTAAACATAGAAAATTGATTTTAGAATACTTAATTAGAGAATAAATAAAACTTATGTCCCTAAGCCAGCACTACTATTTATCAATGGAGTAATTTTACAGATTTTGAAAATATTTCATGTATTACTATTTTAACTTTTTATTTACACATCAAACCACAACCCAAATTCAATTAAAATGAGTTAAACAATTACTGCCATTTTCTGAATAAGCTCCAAGATTCTCCTTCGTTAAAGTGCCCATCCCGAAATGATTTGTGGAACCCATTTTCAACGGTACATTTCTTGTTGTTAGCAGTAGTTACATCCCCCATGATCCATTTTAGAAGGAATGCCGATAGTCTTGAGATCAAGATCTTCCAAAATATGTCTAAAATTAATAGGATCTTCTACCGCTATTCCATCTCTCATATAACCTACTTGCCTTTCACTCTCATTATTGAATTCAACGCCTAACTTATCTGCAATTTCTGTTTGAACTTTTTTACATCCAAAGTTTCTGTTACCTGTAGACGAGAAAAAATATATTGTCAGATCAAGAACAAATATAATAAAGCAATTACGGAAACATAATCCTCATATATATGGGTAAAGTCTAATCATTTACTCAAATAAAATTAATCATAATAATTATCCTCTAAATAAATAATTAAAATAAAATAAATTCTATATAACAAAATGAAACCTCTTAATTAGTTTAAACATTACCTCACAAAAACGATATCGTTAAAGAGCTTATCCTTCTCGGCTTTCCTACCAACTTCTTGCACAAGCGTAGTCTTGCCAAGACCACCCATACCGTAAACCCCGATCAGTAGAATTATCATTTAAAGCATCCATACATTCTTCTCAACGGAGGTTCTTGATTCGAAAACCAATAATTTTCGTCAGATCTAAACCGTATTCCGGTGGATTGGGATAGGAAACTTGATCAAATCTCTCATCTTCGCAGGAGTGGACAACATTTCCTTCAATTGAATGCTTTCTTGCTATGTTTGAAGCGGGTGATCCAGTTGGGGCACAATCCCTTGAAACATCGAGGGTTGTTTTCTTTCTTCAATCAAATTCTGCTTCAAATGGTATTGTTCACTTTACTCTGCCAGTCCTTAACACTCTGTTTGATCTCTTCCACGTTTCTTCAGCAGCAGCACCTTAACCTGCACTTCTTCACTAATATTCTTCAGGTTCTTAACTTCATCTTGGAGATTGTCAATGTCTTCTTGTAGTTGTACAGTACTAAATGGACGCCCAATCGGAGCAGCCAAGCAGTTGACAAGATCCAGAAAAAACTCGCGATTTCGACCATTTTCAACACTTTTTTTAAGAGAAGACAGTAAATGATATTAAACAGGAGAACTAGGGTGCAAACTTTCAAATTTGAAAAATACAAGAGGATCTGGTTTCAGAGTAACAAGAGGTGAGAGAGGTCTGTGAATGAAAGTATCTAGAGAGAAGAAAACTGAAGATGAAGGGAGATTGTGAATAATTGAAAGTCCAAATATTAAAGGTGGAAGAAAACAAAAGATGAAGAAATTAAGACTATGACGAGACGTTGTTTAGATAGGAATCTGTCTTTCTTTAAAGATGTGTACTATCAAATCTAATACCGATACTTGTGAAAAATATGTCATCATTATTAAAGAGAAAGGAGAAAGGTAGATTAAAAGAGAGTATTCAAAATTGGATGCATACAAAGACTAAGACTAAGTAATAATATCTAATACATTAAAAACTTCTATATAATTATATCGATGGACGAACTTATTAGATTAACTAATTTTATTATTATGAAAATGTTATAATTTAATAGAGGTGTAATTACAACAAAAATTTATTTTATAATTCATATATTAGTAGTACAATATTAAGATTTTAATTCATGTTTTCATAGTCTTAGAGTTTCAATTCAGCGTTACAATTGAAGTGGATAAGGAGAATCAAAGAGTCATTGTAGAATTGAGTAATCAAATTCGACAATTTCACTACATTAATTAAATGGATATTAATATATTCTTTAATCATCCAAATGAGCAACAAATCATATATGTTTTAACAGAAGAATAAATCATTGCTACAATTAAAAAAGAAAAGAAAGGAAATAATTATGAGGAGATAGTACGAAAATATAAAAAGTTTCATACCAAGAAGCTCTAAACATACTTGAGAAGCTAGAAATGTTTTGACTTCAACAAGAAAATGTTCATGCTAGCAAGTAATGTACCCACAAGTTAAAAAATGTGGTAACAACTCTAAAGTATAACTTATTGTCCCAAACAATTTTAGATAAATATTTTATTTTATCTTAAATTTTAATGTAATATAGCATATATTTTTTTACAATATACATATAATTATTACTATGTTGAGGTAACTTTCCTTAAGACGGGAATTAGAAAAATTATAACTTATTACAATGTGGAGTTTATTCTTATTTATAACTGTCCCAAATTGGAAATATAATTTTTGATAACTATGTAGAGTTTATTCATATATAGAGTATCATTATAAAGAGGTTTTATTGTATAAATAAATGTAAACCACGTATTCTCACAAAGGTTTAGTGAAATCTTAAGTTGATTGTAGGGGATTGTATTTATTCCAGAGTCTCACCTTTAAACTAATATTGTTAGTGATTATTAGAGGTGGTCAGAAACAATGAGTGAGATCGATAAATGAATGTATCGATTTTGTAGATGAGATTGTGAGAGTGCAACGGTGGTCTCGAGAGTGATTTTAGACTTTGGAATTAACTGGAAAAAGCCAAAAATTGTTGGTCTGGATGTTGTTAACATAAACCATTTTTTACTATCATGAGCCCGTCTTCTACTAAAAAAAATGTTGGAGCACTTTAGTGTACTAACGTGCATCATGCATCATGCTAAAAAGTTAAGCATCTGTTAAAATAAAAGAAATGACATTACTTTAAGAGTAAAAATCTGAAATAAATACAATAAGAGATATTAACTTAAGATTTCGCTAAACCAAAGTTGTAAAAATTATGTCATGATTATTGGCAATAGTTATAAAAATTATGTCATGATTATTAAAGAGAGAGTATTCAAAATTGGAGGCATTCCAAGACTTACCCTATATATTAAAAGTTATTAAAAAATATAGTAATATTATACTCACAAAACATTTTCACTAACTTTTTCTAAAAAACGTGATATGTCAATTTGTAATTGATCAATTCGTAATATGTCTCATCTCTACAACCATGGATCCTGTCTGATTAAATACAAACTGATCAATTATGAACTGTTACATCAACGTTTGTGAAAGAAAATTATAAAAAATATTTGTTAAATTATCTTTATTTTTTAAAATATCAAAAATAAATAAATATTAAAAAGAGAAAGTCCAACCTGGGGGCAAAAGTGGGACCAAGAGCAAGTGCGATTTGAAGTGGACCCCAAATTTTATAGTCCATAACGTGGTTTGAAACTTTGAATGGAACCGCATAAAAACTTGCCCCTTGGCTACTAAAAAAAACAAAAGTCCCAGTTGGTGGAGACAATTATTGGACATTTACCCACCCAAGGTTTGGTGTATCTATAGTTTGCACTTTTAACCCGTGATTTTATAAAATTACAAATTCCACCTAATTTATGGTTGTAAACAATAATTTCAAGAGAAAATGATATTTACCCACCCACCCAAGGTTTGGTGTATTTATAGTTCGTAATTGTTTAGTTCACAATAGATCATATTTGGTCAACAATGGGTCATGTCTGATTAAATACAAACTGATCAATTGTGAGCTATTACATCAGAGTTGTGAGAACAATTTGTGAGGAATGTTTATCTAACCTATCTTTATTTTTAAAAATATCTAAAATAAATAAATATTAAAAAGAGAAAGTCCAACCTGGCGGCAAAGTGGGACCAAGAGCAAGTGCGATTTGAAGTGGACCCCATTAACGTGGTTTGAAACTTTGAATGGAACAAAATAAACACTTACCCCTTGGCTACTAACAAAAGTCCGAGTGGGTGGAGACAATTATTTCAAGAGAAAAGGACATTTACCGACCCATTAAATATTGTCCAGCCGTGGTTTTGTAAATTACAAATTTCCACCTAATTTATGGTTGCATAAAAATATTTCATTTATTTTATTTTAATGTTTTATAATTTTGAAAGTGTATTTTATTTAATATTAAAAACTAATAAATAACTTTGTATTGAATTATTCAACATAAGGATATAATTGATAGTGTAATTATATGAGAATTAAATTTTTACTAAATTTATAATATTAAAATGATAAAAAATTTAATCATAATTCAATGATTATTTTTAATACAATGCTATGACAAAAAAACTCTTAATTCTTTTTTCCCCCATAAATTGTAATGTCGGAGTAGAACCACCTTTAAATAACATTTTTAAAAAGAAATTAAGAAAATATATTTTATAAATCCCCATCGGCGTCAAAGTTATTCGGGAATTGTTTTCCATACCGATCCTCACCTTGTTGCCTGAATTTTTTTTTTTTTTAAATCCTATTTATATTTCTTTCCTTAAAATTAAAAGTAGTTTTAAAATTAAGACAAACAAGCATCTCAAATTTTTTTTTTTTTTAAAATTGATTATTTCTAAAGGTTACGCACAAATCATTACGAGACAAACTACAATAATTTCAAACTAAGTTATAGTTTATTAACAACAAATGATATATCAGATCTAATCATAATTCAGTATTGCAAAATTCCAATGGTACCTCTAAGACTCATAATTTTCTTTTTTCATTTCATATCAAATAATTACCATAGTCAATTTAGTGATACTTATGACGTTCTCTAGTTATTTACTTTCTCCATATTTGATATATAATAACCAAGGATATTGTGCATATATATAGTATAGAAGTTATCACATCATCAATCCATAATTATTAGAACTAATTTTGATTTTACATTAACTTTATATTTAAAATAATTTTTCCTTTTTTTCTTTTTAGAGGTGTCAAATAGTCAAGTAAGTTGAGATAATATTAAATTTATTGTTTTTAGTGGTAACAAAATGTTCTTACGGTGTGCAATATTTATATGTATAAGTCAGTACTATTTGTTTTTAAAAAAAATCTAACCCTCCCCATAACAAATTTCTTGGTTTCACCCCTAATTATTCGTTAGCTAAGTTTGTTTAATTAATTCAAGCATGCATCAAAGTTGTTGAAAAGTGATGCAATGCAAAAGAAATAAAGGCATAGAAATTAAGGTGTTGAATTTAGTCAATATATTCTGTCTCCACGCATGCTTCTCTGATCTCATATTATAACATTAATTATAATATTTCAAAAAACTCAGCAAAATTAAAATAAAATGTGTGTATCTTTCGAGAGATTTAGCAAAATTAAAAATAGAAGTCTTTGGGGTAAGAGAAGAGAAATTTTTAAATATTTGGGGTGTATTATAATTTCGCCTGTCGTGCTGTCGAAGCACATAATGCATTAGCGGTCATGATGCCGCTGATAAGATCCGAAATAGAAAATGAACAAAGAAAAGGAAACAATCATGTGTAGCAAAAAGAACAATATACATATGTTAAAATAAGAATGAAACTAGATTTTCTGCTATAACGCAATAGATATCAGTATCAACTACCTTGACCTCGATTGAAATATCATCTGCAAAGGCAATTGTTTGATAAGAATACAGAATGAGCAACAAAAACGTTTATCAAATGATTAAAGCAGTGGATGTCAAACAATGCAAGTTGTAACATTCATTGGATCGCACCCGAGTAATCTATCAGTTCAACAATGTACATGGTAATGTAACTTCATTCCGATTCCATGCACAAACTAGATTTTATTTTGTAACACAACAGATATCAGTATCAACTAACTTGACCTCGATTGAAATATATTCTGCAAATGCAATTGTTTGATAAGAATACAGAATGAGCAGTGGATGTCAAACAGTGCAAGTTGCAACATTCATTGGATACCACTCGAGTAATCTATCAGTTCAACGATGTACATTGGTTATTGGGGGTGTTTGGGCAGCTGACGCGCATCTAGTCTAGTCCCTCAACCCTAGACAAGGCTTCCAAAATAGGATAAATCCTATGGTCCGTGACCAACAATATTAACAATCATTCATATGATTCGAATCTGAGACTATAAGAAAAACAAACCCCTTGGCCCTAAACCTTTACCACTCGACCAACCTATTGTTGGTTAGTATCCATTGGAGAAATGGGTGTTGTGGGAGAAATGGTTCAATAGTATTGTCTTGTGTTTGATGAAGTATGGGTCCTATGGGACTGCATAAGAATGTTTATATTAAAAATTAAATATAATTTAATAATAATTTTTAAATCATTAAACTATTACATTTTAAATTAATTGATTATGAAATAAGTATATAAATTTGTAGACAATTAATCCTATCAAAATGTTAAAATTTAAATTATTATGAGTTAATAAATTATATTTTAATACATAGTTNAGAATGAAATTAGTCATTATTATGCACTAAAAATATGATTTGTAATTAGATAATTGCAAGTATTATGTTTTTTTATCATTATAAATTGATTTATGATATTGTTTCCTGTAAAACGGACACAATTCAATTTATTATGTATGCTTAATAAATTCCGTTATTAATTTACTTGATTAATATGGAAAGCATAAATATTAATGTTTATTCATGTTTCAATTATTTACATTATATAAAATGCTATATGCAAAAAATTCCATATTTTAACCAACCCTTAAGTGGCAAAGTGGTTTGATGCGAATTCTTGAGTGTATTATTTAAGAGGTTCTGAGTTTGAATCCCTCCTTAGTTGTTAATAGGGGTGACCATTAGAGCTCTTATCTGACTGGTAATTGTAGGGGATTAGTTTAGGTACGCGTAAGTTGGCCCAAACACCCGCGGGGGATTAGTTGAGGTGCGCGTAAACTAGCCCGAACACTCGCAATCATTAAAGAGTTCGAGTCTCTCATCAGTTACTAATATGAGTGACTACTAAAGCTCTTATTCAGTTGGTAGTTCTAAGGTCGTGGGGGATTAGTTGAGATGCATGTAAGTTGATTTGAACACCCTCAGTTATCAAAAACAAAAAAATTCAGGGTCTTCAGGTATTAGTTGAAATGCATATAAACTAGTCCGGACACCCCTATGATTAAAAAAAAAATAAAAAAAATTCCCTATTTCGAGGTATTTAGTACTTTAATAAGGAGATATATAATATAAAAGTCAGAAGATCTAAAAGATAAAACCTCATGCCATGGCCAGGTCCGCATGCACACCATGGTCCATGTATGTTGATATACGATGAGCCTCCATTGATGGCTCTACAATCATCTCCTATATATTTAAAACAAAACTCCATGATGATCCATCGATGAACCTCAAATTAATGGACAGAAAAAAAATTAAAAAAATAAATAAAGGAAAATAGAGTTAAGGATGTTAATATTTGTTGAAGAAGAGATGTCATGATTAATTTATTAAGAGAAAGGCAGATGAAAAGAGAGTATTCAAAATTGTAGGCATGTGAAGAGAGTTTTCAAAATTGGAGGCATGAGAAGACTCAGACCATATATTAAAAATTATTAAAAATATCTAAAACTAATTATAGTCTAGTGGGAGAATCGACAGTTTCCCACCCAAAGTTTGGCAAAGCGACACTTTTTCACCTGTCAAGTTTCAAAACGATACTTTTTCACCTTCATCAAGTTCTGTTAGTATTTTCTATTAATATTTAATTAAAAAGACAAAAATACCCTTAAATAGTTTATTATAAATTAAAATTTAGTTAAGTCAAAGTTTTTGCTCAATTATTTATTAGTTCAAGTGTAAAGATATATATTTTCCTTTGTTTATTTAATTAATTAGAAATATTGATTTTCTATGTTAATTAGTAAAAATGAAAAATATTATAAATTTAGTAGATTATTGAATAATAGTGATGAGATATTGATGACATTATAAATGAATAAATAAATAAATATCAAGATCATTTAAAAATAATAAAAAATTTATAAAGTCAAATATTTAAGGGTATTTTTGTCTTTTTAGTAAAATATTAGTGAAAAAAATAACCGAACCTAATAACGGGTGAGAAAGTGTCATTTTGAAACTTGAAGGGTGAGAAAGTGTCTTTCACCAAACCTTGGGTGGGACAATGTGTTCTCCCTAGTCTAGTAATAAAATGTTTTTGCCCCTTTTAACTTGGACTGAGATATCTTGGCTCCGTTTGGTTCAAAATTTGGGGGTTTTAGGAAAAGTTTTTTGAAAAAAGTTAAAAAAAAGTTGAATTGGGCGGGTATTACGATGTAGAATTTATAAATTAATAAAATACCCTTTATGTTTATTTTTTTACAAAGTACCCCCTATAATAAAACATTAAAAGTTAACAAAAATACCCCTAACCCACCCTCAAACACCCCCAGCCGGCGACCACCACCGGAGGTGGCCGAAGTCGCCGTATGGGCGCATGAACGGTTGGATCTTGCCGGTCATGCGTCGCTATGGCCTTTTCTGGCCAGATCTACGGTCAGATCTGGCCGTTAACGGCCAGATCTGGCCGTATTTGCTCTCAACGACGACTTGTTGGCCGTCGTGGTGGATCTGGTCGGAAAAGACCAGATCTACGGTCAGATCTGGCCGTCAACGGCCAGATCTGGCCGTATTTGCTCTCAACGACGGCTTGTTGGCCGTCGTGACCGAGTGTTACTGCCAAATCTTTGGCCTTAGATCTGGCCTTTTCCGGCCAGATCCACGGTGGATCTGGCCGGAAAAGGCTAGATCGGCACACTACCGGCCAAATTCAGCCTGTAGTGCGCCATCCTACCAGATTCCGACCATTTTCCGGTGGTGGTGGCTGGAATCTGGTAAATGTAGATTATTGGGGTGTTTTTGTAATTTTAAAAAAAAATATTTAGGGGTATTTAATTAAATTATCAAATTTAAGGGGTTTAAAAAAAGTTGAATAATATTTGGAGTAGTATTCCCAAAAATCTGAGTTTTTGGGTATTTTACTGTTTAACTTTTTTGGGAATACTAAAAGTAGTATTCCCAAAACTGAAACAAACGCAGCCCTTGCTTCATAATCAATTTATTATTCCTTGTGGTGGAAAATGAAGATTCTAGTCTTCATTACTCGTCACACAAGCAATCCAAAACAGAGCACAAAGATTTATTATTATTATTGTTCTTATGAAGCTTTTCATAATTAAAATTAATCAAACCTCAAGAAAAATGAATTGAATGTATTTAGTTATAATAATAGATTTGTGGTATGTCCCTTGGGAAAAATCTAAAATACCTTAACATATGTCAACATTTTTATATAGTTTATGGATATTTTCTATCTCATTAATCTTCAAAATTAATAAAAAAAAATTGATGATTATTTAGTCATATATCCATGTAGGATGAATGCATAGACTTCTGAAATATATTCTTTCGAAATCCAAAATTAGGGTAAAACCCCCCTAGTAAGAACATTTTTGATAGAATATTCATTAAAAAATCCTTTGTAAACTCATTAAATTTGATGATGGTTTTTATGAAAAAAAAAAAAAATGGTTTTCTTCTATTAAACATAAAAAAAAGGAACAAAAATTGTCCTAGTCATACATAGTTTATATGATTATATGATCCATGATATGTATCTAATAAACGATGCTACATCGCTTAGTATATGGAATAAATACTTGATTGATGCTAAGATTTTTATCATCCTATGAAAAAACACAATGAAAAAAGAAATATATTAGAATAATGTTGAGGTTGGGGATGAAACAATCTTTTATCTCAACCACATGCCAAGTTTTTTGACTGTGAATGCTCATTTCTGTTTCAGAGTTTGATCAAATCAATGAAGTTTGTATATGGTTTACAATCGTCTGAGGACTTTGAGTAGCATCAACCTTAAGAACCCCTTCGGAATCGTCTATTTGAAGCAAATCTAACTGCGACTGCAAAAGTGCAGCTGGCATGAAATGTTTCCCTTCCGCAGCTCGTTTCTCTAGTCGAGTAACAAGCACCTCAACTTGAACATCCAACAAGATGAACTTCACTAGACTATTGTAGCTTCCAGGTTCATATTTAGAGTCAGCTGCTCGAAGAATTTCTCTGTATCGCTTCTGCAGAGCAGAACATCCAAGTATCACAGTTTTTTTGCTGATTATTTTCTCTCTTAGAGCATCCCGTAGGGTTTCCAGCCATGGAATCCGGTCTTCCTCTGAAAGAGGAATTCCTTGTTGCATCTTTTCTGTCGTGTTGAACATATGACAATATAGAAAATGATGAAGCTAATCATGATTCTAATATCAAAATCAGGAACAGGAAGCTAATCATGGTCAATTAGATTATGGACTTACCCTTGTTTGATTGTGAATGGTAATCATCAGCATCAACAAAATCACAATTCAAAGCTTTTGCTAGCATCTCGCCTATCGTGCTGTTGAAGCACTAAATGCATTAGCAGTCATGATGCCGCTGATAAGATCAGAAATAGAAGATGAACAAAGAAAAGGAAACAATCATGTGCAGCAAAAAGATCAATATACATATGTTAAAATAAGAATGAAACTAGATTTTCTGCTATAACACAATAGATATCAGTATCAACTACCCTGACCTCGATTGAAATATTAAACATCACGCGAATTAAAAGAGTTATAGTCTGCAAATTCAATTGTTTGATAAGAATACAGAATGAGCAACAAAAACATTTATCAAATGATTAAAGCAGTAGATGTCAAACAGTGCAAGTTGCAACATTCATTGGATCCCACCAGAGTAATCTATCAGTTTAACAATTTACATGGTAATGTAACTTCATTCCAATTCTGGCACAAAATGACCAAATGACTCTCTTTTGGTAACATATTTCGCCCAATACTTGCTGTATTAAACTAACTTGTTTTTGTTTACAATCCCAGCTATTAAGGTCAGGTAGCTATTTATTGCGATGACACCAAATAAGAAACAATTGAAATAATGCAAAGAAAGAGGCGGTGAATGCCAGTCATACATGTCAATATAGATATTCAAATTCCACCTTACGAGAACATTCAATAACTGAGTAGTTCTAATCAAACACAAAGGAGATTAAACTAGCATTTTACTCAAAAGTTATTCTTGGTGAAGATGGTGTCCTTGTATGGGCAAGTAATTGAAAATAGGTATTGGCATTGAAACAATCTGTCAGTTTTCTGGCCTTGAAACCTTTAATGGCTTTTCCAAATTGACACTGGCCTTTATAAGAAAGCGTTTGATAACTACATACTGGTGATTAAGTGCATGAAGATTTTTACAATTCATGGCGGTGTGCCATTCGAATCTAGACAAATGCAGTTAAAGTTTTTCTGCTGTTCGAACAAGATGAAATTTGAATAGCATCAATTACATAAAAAGAAGATTTGCTTCTGCAATTCTTCATCATTAATGTCCTAGTACAATGTAGGCTAGGAAGATGATCTCCCGAGAAGCACAAAATTTTCAGTCACAAATCTGCCTGTGAAGATCTAAACATCACAAACAACAATACAAGCACAAAGTCGAGTCTCATTTACCATTGGTATAAACAAGATACAACTAATCAGTAAAAAATCATAACCTGAAGAAAATTAATATATGGTCACAAATATTGTACTAGAATCAACAATATGTCAAAGCTCAAAAACCAAAGAATATCAAAATCATATAAAGAATTGAAACCTTATAGACTTGAGTTAATTTGAGCTTGCTTTTGGCAATGCCTCTAAAGCCAAAGAAAAACACGTTGTAGGTGCTTTGCAGTAAGAATTTTTTCCCACAAAATTATTCATTTAACAGCCTATACAATAAAATTCCATCCACTTAACTTTTGTATTTCAAAATCGTATCTAAAGTGAAATCTTGTAGACCTTAAATAGTTAAATGAATTGGAGATTGCCTTTGGCACCATCTAAAGCGCTTTCAAATAACCAAAAGCACTTTGTATCATATTATAGAGTTTGTTTGAATTAGATAAAAACACATTTTGCAATCAAGACAGCACTTGCAATACCTTGAGAAGCATTTGATGAATACATTTCTAAAACAAAGAAAAAAGGTTAATAAGTGCTTCTGCAATAAGTACATTTCTCAAAAGTGCTTCCTAGAAACAATCCCAAATCCCAACTTGAGAATTCCATCCACCTAACCAAAATTTAAAGATATCCCACTTGAGAATAGACTCCAAACATCAATATTTCACAATCCATCAATCAAAAACTCAACACCCTAACACAAACGAATCTCAATCCTCAAAGACAATCAAACGAATTCAATTAAAGCCACAAAAAAACTTACGATTTCCCAGCGCCACTGACACCCATTATAACAAAAGCTTTCCCTGCGAAGAACATAAAAAGAGTGAACATCAAGAACTGAAGAGGAATCTATCCATTAACTTGATATCAAATAAGGAAATAAATTACCTTTAGGATCAGAACCCATGTTTAGTTAACAAAGAAGATGAGGAAAGTTTGAAATTTTAGCAATGAAACCCCCTACGAGAATCAAACAAATGTACAATAAGACAATATAATAGGAGCCGTTAATGACTCGTGAACTTCTTGGTGGCATGTTTTGACTTTCTTAGACTCCTCAGTCAATACTCAAATTTTCAGTTAATTGCATGTCTGCCTCCAAGATTTGGTGGAAATACTAATATTCCCTCCACTTTTGAGAAACTAACGCCCATAACCCCAAATGAAGGTTTTATCAATTAATTATTACTGCGTAAGGAGTACAAAAGATATTTTGAATAAGTGGTTTACTTTCATGATCAAGAAATTTAACAATATCATTTATCTAAAACTTTATTGTTTGACCAAAATTTTGAGCTATTTAACAAAAAATACTAGTAATTTATTCAAAATATGATTTTTACCCTTTGAACCTTTATATTTAACAGACATAAATGACACTGAATCCCACAAACTTTTAATGCAAACTTGCAAAACAAAATTTATTTATTAGTTTAATATGGTAAAATGATTTTAAGAAAAATTAAAAGTAAATATATTACAATTTAAGTTACTAGATGATATTGAATTAATTATTAAGAAAATTTATCACAATAATTTGACTAATATTTAAATATATTCTTTTGATTTTACCTAATCTTTATCGTGATTTCAAAAAAATGTATAAATATTATGAGGTATTCTTTATATTACTAGAGTCTCATTATATAATTAATCCAGCAAGAGTTGAATAAACTCAAGCTCTCCAATCTCATTATATTCAAGTGGCAAAAAAATGGGGGCCTGGTGAAAGACAAAATTGACCTTAAGCTATTTAACAGGAGGTAAAATGCTCAGGGTCTGACAGGGACAATTGTGGTCTTTTCAAATTTCATTGGGCCCAAGTGTAATTTTCTCAAAACTCAGGGGCTAATGTGTTACCTGCTCTTCTCCTCGTGACCCAACTATCAGGACAGGCATAGATAGCGAATACCTGAAAGGCTGAAACGAACAGGTGTCTTTCAACCCAGAAACACGGTCTCTTTCAAGCTCCGATACAACACGAGAAAAGACAAAGAAAAGGAGAGTTGAAGAAGAACCCAGATAGAGACTGCTCACTGGTTACTGGTCAGCCTTCGCTTCATTTCTCCTCTTTTTTTACTTTTATTGCTACAATCATTACATTTTTTAATATTTATTTATTAAATAAAGAAATGGGAAAAATTGCATAGGTTATGTTTGTTTATTGTTTTTTTTTCATAGGTCAATTGGGCAATGGGGTTTCGTTCTTTTTCCAAGATTGGTAAAACCGTTGAGAAAGTTTCTGCATTTTGGATTAATGTAAATAGACAGCAAAAGGGTATTTGTAATTCTGCAAAAGTTGGAGTTTTTGATTGGGAATGCTTGGAAACAAGATTTTTGGAGCAGAAGGAGGGCTTTAGGGCAACTGGGTTCGTTGATTCGATTGTGGGGAGAAATGTTTTAGGCAGATTTAAGGAAAATTCTGTGCAATTAAAACGATTCTTTGGAAGCAGTGGTAATGGCGCTCAGCTGGATAGAGATTTTCTTGCACAGCTTTGGATTGCTGATAAGAAATTGGAAAAGTCCAGAGAAAAAAGAAGAAGAAAAGTTGTTAAGAGTAAGAATTATGGTGAACCGGTTTACGATGCTAGGCTGCAGGGAAGATGGTTTTCAGGTTCTGCTGTCCCAGAAGAAAATCCTTATGAGCAGGGTAAATCAGTTCTGCGTCAACCTCCAGTCAGTCAGTCTGTCACTGGTTTTCTTGAACCCTCATCCCCGGAGGAGGTGAATTTGTTTTTCTTATGCTTTAAAGTTGTTGTTAGATGATTGTATTGCTTGATTTGTTATGGTTACTTTAGACAGTGTGAATGCTCTTTTGTTCCTTGGAGGAACATGTCTTGCAAAAGCATCAGCTTATTGAATTTATAATCACTACAGTTATTCCATCATTGCATTGTGATGGTTAAAAAATTCTGTGTTTGTTTATGTTTAGCAATGCATCCTGATTTAGTTTTTAATCACATGTTCTTTACTTAACTGGGTAAATCCTTTAATAGATATCATGTGCCTGTGTTTGCATTTTCAGTTTTGCCACTGGGGAAATGTAGGGGTTGGAGGGGTGGGGAGCATTATGTTAATATATGCTTGGACATGCACAGATTATCTGTTTAGTTCTATTGAGTGTTACGTGACGTTGATTTAGGGCCTCTAGTTTGGACCAAAGTTGTTGATTTCAGTTATTGTGGCAAAGCTCATCTTAATCAGACTCATGGTCAATGATTTGGCAATTTTGTGCCTGGGTGCCTTTGTTGGTATTTTAATAGGTTATAAATCGATGAAAAAGTTATCTTATGAATTGAGTTGCCAGACCAACGTTAATGACACCAAGTTGAGGTGATTCTTGAGTTCAAATAGCACTATGGTTCTGTTACTGTATTGAGATAAAGAGACGCTCTATACGTGCATTGCGTCTTATTATATTACAAATGGGAAGCTTGGTTATGGTCAAGAGTGTTTTAACCTTACAACGTTTGGATAAAGGGCTATCATATACTATGGTCAAGAGTGTTTTAACCTTACAACATTTGGATAAAGGGCCATTATATACATGCTCTGTGGATCTTATTAATGTAATGAGTAGCTTGGTTGTGGTCAAGAGTGTGTGAACTTTATTAGTGCATATGCGTGCATGCATGATTCTACGTATTTGTATAATTTTGCTTAAGCATGGTTTCTTCATGAATATTATTGTCAAGTACAAGTAAGCAGTATGCTGCCATTCACTTTCTAGTGTTTATAGTTGTTCATCTGGGTTCAACTCATTAAACTTTTACATTTTCTAGTCTGTAGGTAAACTTAACTACGTTATTTATCATTTCTTGAATATTTTAGGTCCAGGTTGCACCACTTCTTGCAAGGTCCAATTTGCTGATTACCAGGGACATTGAGTGGGCCAATCTTGTACTTGGTTTTGAGCAGGTGAGGTTTTCCCCTACTACTTTTTTCTTTCTTTCTTTCTATCATTCCTTCCATCCCTTATATAATTTGATGGCATATGGTGTTATAGCTCAAATTTAAGATTGCTTAAAATACCCCCTTTTCTTTTTTGGATAGAAACTGTACTATATTGCTATTACAGAAATTTCATAGAAGGCATTTGAAGTGCCACGATGTTCATTTGCATTGTTTACATTTAACTTTAGAATGAAGTATTAGATCAAATACTTCTTGGAATTATGTGATTTTTTTACTGAAGCAAACACGAAAATTTGTCTGCAACAGTCTTTTTGTATGGAAAGCTATATTTCAATTTTTATTTTGAGATTTGTTTGATTCTTGTTTGCACCCATGGTTGGCCTTGAATCATACAAGTATTTTATCTGTGTTGTTCTGGTGGTTTAGCACACTTATTTTTCCTTTTGTGTTTTATATACATATTTTTGAGTTAGAAATTAAGTTTTGTATTGGCACTTATGTCAAGAACCCATGTACCTGGTCATATGGCTGGTTGGTTAATGGTTCACTTGGAATTTAACCAATTCTCGTTTTGGTAAAATGAGTTTTAAGACTACTATGAGCTGATTCTTGCATGTCATTGTGTTTTGCTTGTCTGTTGTGCTATTTGATTTGAGTGATTGATTTGTGATTTTGAGTTTTACTCATGGTTCAATAATGAAACAAGTGTTGGTTTGACTTGATTGTCCCCCTTATTCCCTTTTAACTTTGATATTTTCTAGCATAGTCCTTTTGATCAAGTTGGCATACAAAGTCCAATGAAAAGTTATCTCATAGCTTACTTCAGAATAATGAAAAGCTTCCGTGGTTCCTCAATCCCATGCCATGTGGAGCATTTTCCAGGACACTAGCTCATAAAGAAAAGCTTAGGAAGTGCAGAGTTCCAACTCAGCTTTCAGTCCAATTAACTTCTCAGGACACTTGTCTATAGAAAAGTCCCCTCTCAGCACTGAATCAAAACTACCATCACCTGTTGAGAAAGCAGAAGCTAAACTTAGCACACATGTCCATGGGAAATAAAATAACTTATTTACTTATTTGTCATCTTGTATTAAGCTAAAAATAAATAAACATATGGGTAGGAACCTATTTAATCCTTCCTAGAAAAGTAATGGGGTCAGCCTTCAACACTTCAGAAGTTCAACATGAAATTATATCTGAAATAACAAACGCGACATTCTCTCTGTAATATAAGAAGACGAACCTTTAGAGATTTTTCAAGATTATATATGTGTGTATCAATACAGTAACTTTCCAAATGTATTAAAATGATGATCTAAGTATAGACAAATTCTGAAACCTTAAAAGATTTGTCAAGATTTCCTGAGAGCAAAGCAGAAAATCATCCTCAATAATGCAAGCACACTTTAGTACACATTTCATTTCATAACCCCAAGAACTTTCTAAATTTTCCTCTGTAAGACCTTCTACCAGAAAAGAAATTCTTCAAAAATGCTAATGAAACATTTCAAAGTTACCTAAGTTTATACGAATCTTGAGTATGTAAGAAATTAAATTCTTACAAATAAGTGTCAATTGCAGAAGGTTAAATTAGAAAAATCAGTGCATCTATTATAAGTTAAACTTAACATTAATTTACATTAGAAGTGGGAATTCCACACAGACACATTCACCTAACTGATGGAGCCCCTGTAAAATTGACTAAAACCAACACAATACACACAAAGTAACAAGCAAGAGAACACACACTTGGATATGAACTGATAGTATTAATATAAGGGTTGAAATAACAAATGAAGAAGTATAGCACCCAAACAGATAGATTCCCAGTTCGAGGAGCTGGAGGAGCCTCCCTTATGACCTATGAAGAATTTACTTGATAATCCCCTCACACTCCTCTCTTTACTATATACTAATTACCCTTTACTAACTGACACTAAATCCATCCTCTAAATATCAGCCATGGTGTATATTCTTAAAAACTCGCTCACACTCTCCACACTCACCGCCTTTCACACTCACTGCCCTTAACGTCTATTCTTGCCTTTCAACTTACAGACCTTGCTCATGGGTGGTCTATCACTAACTAAAGATCAGTATGTTGACCTAAAAAAGGATTATCTCAATTCATCAAGTTAATTTGACTAACATAAAATCTTAGTACTACCTTCCAGCTTAGCGATGCCACTGATGTCATTAATGATGCTTATCTTTGCCTGATTTGACTTTGAACCTAAAAGCTTCGGGAGGACCTGTGAAATAAGGTTCAAGGCAACTAAATTTTTCTTTAATCATCATTCATGAGTCATTGTCTTCATCAACTGCAGCCTGAATCATCTTCATTAATTGGACCATCATCCTGTATAAAAATGAGAATAATATAAGTAACTAAGATGCAAAATTTTAATATAATAATAATAATAATAATAATAAGTACATGATAAATAAAATATGAAATAAAAATTATCTTTACGAATGCTTCTAAAGGATATAGTGACAATGAGGTAAAGAAAAGCACTACAATACTCATTTTTGTTTACTTGAATAATTGAGAATGAGGTAAAGAAAAATACAGGAATTAGCAAGATAGTTTAATTTGACCTCTAGAGTCACAACTTTAAAGGAATAAGTTAAAAACAGAATGTATATTATACGTTGAGAAAATATCTCAAAATGAAATTATTTAGACCTTCTGGAATGGATATGGCCCTGTAGTTGTGACCGAGTCCGCTGGTTTCAGATTCCATCTAGAATGTGGTCTGCGATATTTCCAGTGTTTGCTTCTTGAGAGCAACCTGAAAGATAATCCCTCAAAGAAAGATTTGTACAAAAAGCTTATTTCTTAAGTCAGTGATACAGTAGCACAGATAACAAATAGATAGAATGAGAATAGAGAAATTATCAAAACACATCTTTGAATACCACAGAAAATTATACCGATGTGTACGTGTTCCTTCTTCAAACAGTAACCAAGAAACAAGTTTTCAGCTTGATTTCCTCAGCGATGAGGATAATGAAGTCAACATTTAAGTATAAAAAGATTCCCTAATCACGTTTTAAAAAAGAATGAGATGTTTCTAAAGACAAAGATGAAAAAAGATAAAACTAAATCTGTTATATAATGAAGCAGATTTTATTATCTATCAATAACTCAATTGTTTAAAGGAGACGGAAAGAAATTTAAATTGATGTTATTGGAGAATGAAAGTCTAAGAGCATGCACATTAAGTAATCGAAAATTATCCATGCTATTCCTCAGGGACTTTGAGAACTAACTTTTGTGGATGCTCTACATTGAAAATTTAGCAAGCCTAGATTTCAAGAAGCTCCCGAGGCTAAGAGCTAAGAACTCTGTGGCATTTTTGGACCATATTGGGCAATGTCATTAACCAGTTTCTTTTCTTTCCAAGGTAAGTCGGCTGCATTTCTCTGGATAAGAACAAATCCAAAAACAAACAAATCAAATCAGTAGCTGAATTTGAACTTCAGACACCTATGAAAGCATATAGTAAAGTTGAGCGTCCACTAAATAGGTTTGTTCAAAAGAATCCATGTAGGACCAAGGTGCTGAAGTTCAAAAATATTTTGAACTATAAACTTCATTTAGTGACTGATGGCATGCAAGAAACATAAAAAAGTGGCACCCAGAACTGCAGAGACTGATACTAGATAAATAAGAGTAAGTTATTAATTGATTTACATATTCTTGTATTAAAATTTGAATCACGCACTGCGGCATATTCAAGCATGTCATTGGTCCCTTTAATTTGACATTCTCACAATCATGTGTACCCTGAAAACTTTATCATTTTTCAAAATTCCACCATTCATATTTTTGTCAGCTGTACTCTAGTCTTTTTAAAAGATTTTAACATAGCTCCTCATTGCCACTCGAGATGTATGACCAAATGAAGAAACCAGAGGCACAAAATTACTTGTTGGCAATAATTCGAAATTTATAAGCATGTCATTGCTCCCTTGAACATCTTCACCCCCCTACACTTGTAGTCAATTCACAAACTTACAGTTCTTACAACCAAAAACTCTGCAATACTAGTCATGGTCAGCCTCGCACAGTAATAAATTCATACAGTAGTCAGTTCCATAGTTAATTAAGATCCATAATCTTCAATGATAAAGGACGCATATTCTCAACAATACCCAAGAAAACACTTACAAGCTAAATTTTACATATCCTAAAAGGTTTCACTAACACTACACATCAAAGCCCCAAACCATGCAGAACAAAAACCAAGAAAAAAACTTTAAACATTTGTACAATACATATGAATATATAAGATCAATCTCTAATATGTACTGCCATTTCTAGCTTTCTGCACTACGAAGCTGCAGTGACCACATGAAAAACAATCAAAAAACAAAGGCTTTAAAAGGAAAACGACTACAAGAGTAAGACAGGCTTTGAACATACACTGAGTTCCTGCATGAACACCATCCTCCGATTGGCTCATAACTCACTAAAATCCAACATAAACACACATATTAACAGTGTATATTAATAGTTTTGCATATCAATAAACTATCAAATTATACCTCACAAATTGAAATACAATTTAAACTGTTGGATAATACACTTTTAAGGACTTAATAATCTCATCAAATGTAATTTATCTAACAAGCATTAATTAATGCCTATTGACCACATTTGAATACTTGGAAAACTATAAATTTCACTCAAAAGAAACAGTGGTTCAATTTGATTTATTCAGAAGCATTCGATGTATTTGCACTTCATGATCAATGAAACACAAAAATCACATTTTCAAACAACATTTCAAGCAAACCACGTTTTAAACTTACAGATCATATAGATCCTCACAAAATTCCTGAGATCACATTGTATCCGCCTGTCGCCTAAAGCCCAGTCAAACATGACGCCGATTTTCAACTTCTGATCTGCCTGAAGCCTATCGACATCATTTGGCACCAATTTCGCCGATTGTTGCGAACAGATTCGGGAACAACTTGGCAATCTCATCTGTGAAATTAAAAAATTAACAAATATAAACACACATGTTCCATTAGTTTTAATGATAAGTATTTGAGACGAACGAATGAACTGGACTGCCGGTTTGAGCAGGCGGACCGTCA